GTGTCACCCTCACAGCCGCCCAACGGGGACTGCAGGGCAGACACGACCCCCCCCCTCACGAACCCCCCTCCTGCATCCATACGGGTGTGCACCAGCGCATGTGAAGCCCCCAAGGCAGCCCCCACCCCTGGGTAGCACCCTCAGAACCCCCCCAGTGCAGGAGCTGGAGTCACTGGGCCACCAAACTCCCTCTCCTTTGCCCCAAAACCACACAGCCAGGGCTCCCCGCGACACCGCTTCCCCTTTCTCCTTGTTCTTCCCCTGAGCCGGCACCGAAAGGAGCCGGAACCCCCCCCGGGGGGGCAAGCGCTGAGTCCCAGCTCTGTGCAGGGCCATCATGCAGGCACGGGACGGCATCCGCGCCCGCTGCAGCAGCCTGGACCTGGGTACCCCCGGACCACCCGCCTCCACGCCAGACACCCTGGGGTGCTGCCCGCCTCGACCCCCCATCTCGGCCCTCATCTACAGCAACGTGGGTGAGTGACGCCCCAAGCCCGCTGTCCTCCCCCCGGCGGACCACCGTGGTGGTGGGGAGGACCACCCCACTGCTGTGCCCATCCTCCTCCTGCAGCACCCGGCTGTCACCCTTCCAGCCGGCGCCGGGCATCGCTTTGGGGCTGGAAATGCGCAGTGGAGCAAATAACAACGAGCTCGTACCCCTGTACCGCCTCGTCTCCCACTTTCTTCCCCTGCCTCAGGAAGTCTCAGCCCTGCTGTGTCTGTTCCTTCTTCCCCAGGAGAGCTGCGGGCCCACCTCGTCCCCCGCAAGGCGAGCCGAGGGGATGGAGCTGGGAGACCCCCCTCTCAGCCCGACCAGGACCCCCTGCCTCCCCCACTGCCGAAAAAGCAGCTCCAGCGAGCGGAGTCCCTCCCGGAGCAGGGGCCATCCCGGCACTGTCAGGGTGATCCCACAGCATGGGCCAGCAGCATCCTCCACAGCATCCCACCACCCGATCTAGAGCACAAGGAGGGGGCTCCCAGCACCATCCCCCCGCGGGACAGATCCTCCTGGGGACCCAAGAAGCCCCTGACCAAGTCCCAAAGCCTGGTAGAACCGGTGGTCCAGAGCAGCCCACAAAAAGCCCCATCGCCCAGCCCAGCGGAGCTGACGTTCCGGACGGCGGACGGGGAGCTGGGGCAGCTCCCGGAGCGATGGGCAGCGCTCAGCATCCTGGACCGGGAGCCGTGCTGTGAAAGCGGGGACGCTTGGTATTTCCGGGTGGGCTTCGCTTTTGAGCAAACCCAGCTGGTGTTTGCAGCCAAGGTAAGCGGGGAATTCGGGAAAACGCAGAGGGAGCTGGCTCCCGGGACACGGGGAGGGGGCTGCAGTGCCACAGGCAAGTATGGACCAGGAGCGTTGGCTCTTCCAGTGACCCCCGTCACGTAGGCAGTTCCCCTTTCTGCACTGACTTCTGCATTTGCTAACTGAGACGTCGCTGCTGGTGCGGGACGTGGAGGCAAAGTCGACAGCTCCCACGGGGTCCAAAGGACACGTCACGGAGAATGGCACCACTGGGGAAGATGCCCTGGCAAGTGGTTCCATGGAGCCAGCAGACACAAAGTAGAGGCTAGAGCAGAGCTGGCTCTTCAGGCAGTGCAGGATGAGACCCACCGAAGCACCTTTGCATCTTGCTGGGGGGTTTCATCTTACCCCCATTCCCCTTTCTTGCTCAAAGTCATTCCAGCAGGCATCAGTGCCTGGGCAGGGTGCGGGGGGATCCCAGCACCATGCGTGGGTCGGACCAGGGCTGGTGGCCCTGAGCTGAGGCTATGGCCCGGCCCAGG